ATTTTATTTTATTTTATTTTATTTTATTTTATTTTATTTTGTTTTATTTTATTTTATTTTATTTTATTTTGTTTTTATTAGCGTCCTGTATATATTGTTTAGTATAATACACAAGAAGTACTATTTTATTATTTTATTTTATTTTTATTTTTATTTATTTTTGTTTATTTTTATTTTTATATATATTTATTATTGTTGTTGTTTTTGTTGGTGGTGTTGTTGTGATACTGATGGAGATGATCAGGCTAGTGATGATGCTCGCGCTGCTGCTGCTGCTACTGCTGCTGCTACTGCTGCTGCTGCTGCAGCTACTGGTGCTGCTGCTGCTGTTAGTGCTGCTGTGGCTATTGCTGCTACTGCTGCTGCTGCTGCTGCTGCTGCGCGTTCATGCTGCAGCTGTTTTATTACTGTTCCCGTTGCTCTCAATGCTGTACATCCAGCAGCAGCAGCAGCAGCAGCAGCAGCAGAGTTTGCTGCTGCTGCTGCTATTTGTACTCCCACTACCTACTACCTACTCCTCCTCCTCCTCCTACTACTACTACTACTACTGCTGCTGCTGCTGCTGCTGCTGCTGCTGCTGACCTGTAAGCACGAGGTTAGCTGGTGCGTTGCTGGTTGCAACAGCCATGCATTTGACGCCTGATTTGGTTTGTGTTTGCTGCTGCTGCTGCAGCTGCCCCTGCTGCAGTTTATATATTTGTATAGCTCCCGTTCTCTTTGTCTCTTCTCCTCCTACCCAGCAGCAAATGCTGCGAGGAATCCAAGACACTGCATGCGGCACGAAAGGCACTGTAGCAGCAGAATGTGTCACTATCTGAGGCGCATCCAGCGTATCCATCCTCCTGCTGCTGCTGCTGCTGCTCCTGCTGGTGCTGCTGCTGCTGGCGCTGCTGCTGCTGCTGCTGCTGCTGGTGCTGGTGCTGGTGCTGGTGGTGGTGGTGCTGCTGCTGCTGCTGCTGGTGCTGCTGCAGCTGGTTGTGTCTGGTGGAGGCTGACAGCTCCTTTTGCTTCCGCTTGTTGTGCTGCTGCTGCTGATGCTGCTGCTGCTGTTTCTGTTTTCTTTTTTTTTTATTTT